TTCCTATGCACTCTTTTACTGAGGTAACGTTGTGAAATAAATTCAAACTTTGACTGGACATTCTTTTGTACTTTTATACTATGTGAGTGATGCACGTGGAATGTGTTGTCTGCGGCTGTTGCGCACGCACCAGGAACAGTTGCTAGTTGATCTTCACAATGCATGACACAAGGTTCCTAACAATTTACAATCGCGTGCACGTTTGGAAAATAGGCTGACGTTGATCACAGGAAATCTTGAATCATGAGATGAGGTGAGGTGATATGGGGTTTAACATCGCGTTCAAGATTATTGCACTTATATAGCGACCTGCATGCATGTGTGTGTGTGTGTGTGTGTGTGTGTGTGTGTGTGTGTGTGTGTGTGTGTGTGTGTGTGTCTGTGTGTGTCTGTGTGTGTGTGTGTGTCTGTGTCTGTGTGTGTGTGTGTCTGTGTCTGTGCGTCTGTGTGTGGCTGTGTGGCTGCTTGTACTAGTCCGGACTGATGCCGATTTATGGTGCTAGCCCACTGAGATACCATGCCGCAGTTTAACATGAATGCCCCACTCGGACACAGTATACTGACTCCGAGCCGACCAGTCCTTGTTTTAGCCCCTTAATGCCGAGCGCCAGACAGGGTAACAACAAGTACCATCTTTTAACGTCTTTTGGTATGATCAGTTTGCATGTGAGCATTTAATCCAAAGTTTAAAAGAATGAACAGCTTTCAGACACACTGTCCTGAAGAATTATTTGTATGAAACTCCTAGTCACTATGAACGAATTGCGCTTGGAAATATACTTCATAAACATGAATTGCGGGACGTTGGTACAGTTCATCGGATTACAGGGAGAACTGCACGAACAGTCAATCTTAGGTTAATTCTGAGAAGAAGCAGGATTTGACCATGATTTCAAAACGTTTTCAAATCCTCCATAAAGCCTCAATGCACCTTTTGGTATCGTTGTTACTTGCAAAGTACAGTCATTTGAACCTAAATATTTCCAAATATTAACCACTATTAATAGGGTACGCAAATGAAATAGTATTTAAAACAAACAACAGAATCCAAAGTCTGCTTACCGAATGCCATAAGAGCGAGGATGACGAGGACCTTCATGATGTCTGTGTTGCTGAGGACGTTGTTTTGCTTGTCTTTAGAAAATAGAAGTGGCTGGAGTGAAAGGCGAACTCTCGTCTTTTATAGGCAAGTCTGATCGGTGGGAACAATCCATTTTCTCTTGCGTCACAGCATGTGGTCATTTCAAACAATTTCAGAACATACCTACACCATATCCCCAGTCAGAAAGCTGCTGTGGCGCCTACGCACGACGCCCAATTGGCTAATTGCACACCGTTAATTAAACCATGCGGACTTGAACTGTGAACCCCACTTTGATCCCACTCAATACCATGGAGCTATTTGTAGCTGCATTGCTACATGATTTATTTGAATGTACCATGAACTTATTGGTATACTTACGATGACCGTCTCAAATCTGCAGCCATATGTGAAAGTTATGATTTTGATTTTGTTTCAAGAGGTGTATTGTGAATAAAAGTCACAAAAAACTTTCTATATTCATAAAAAATCTCTGCTAAAAAAATGCAGCATGTGCACGTAATCGATTTCAAACTTCAGGAAGAATGATTTTTTTCCAGCATTTTCGGGAATATGTTTTTGAAACTTTCAGTTGTGCGAAAGTAATTATTGATGATGCGTTCATGACATGTAAAACAAGCGTACATGTAAATAGCGTTTTCGAACTTTTAATGAACCATATGGGTAATATTGTCACATACATGTAGGTCAGCGTCTGCAATTATATCCTGTGATGTTATATTTGCTGTATTGTGTTACCCCTAAAAAACAGTAGTAATCGTGTTAGAAGTAGTGGTGGTAGTAGTAGCATTAGCAGCAACAGAACTATTTTGCCGCTTGTGTACAGTTTTTATTGCAAACCAAATGATGCTAATTTGCCATTTCGCTACTCTGAAAGCTCTTATCAAAGCTAAATATTTCAGGGCATATGTGAAGCCTTGTGTAGACACGTGTTGATTAATACTTCTTTAAGTATTTGTTTCAACAGATCTCTCAACTCTGTTTGCTTCGTACATGCACATTATGTCTCAGTCACAGTTGGTACATTACAACTCATCTAGAAAATACAAGAAAGTGGTGTTTGGTGATGGTGGTCCAACGAGACATTATGGCAACAAGGTAATCATGTTTATCGTCACATGTATTTGGGGATTATCTTCACAACAAACCTGCCAATATCAGAGTCCCAAATTCGACCCGTCTCACGGATTAAACGTCACTGTAATTATATTTCATTGCCAAAAAGGATTTGGAAAATTTCTTTTGAAATAGTATACACATAATTAAATGAAGTATCAATGCAAGAGAATAACCGGCCTAGGTTTTCTTCCGATACAAATTCCAAGAGCGTTAAGGGCAAATAGCTGTGGAAATTATATGAATGGATCACTAATTATCAGTGTGTGTGTGTGTGTATGTGTGTGTGTGTGTGTGTGTGTGTGTGTGTGTGTGTGTGTGTGTGTGTGTGTGTGTGTGTGTGTGTGTGTGTGTGTGTGTGTGTGTGTTTAGGTTTTAAGGTGTTTAGGTGTGTGTGTGTGTGTGTGTCTAGGTGTTTGTGTGTGTGTGTGTGTGTTTAGGTGTGTGTGTGTGTGAATTTAGGTGTGTGTGTGTGTGTGTGTGTGTGTGTGTGTGTGTGTGTGTGTGTGTGTGTGTGTGTGTGTGTGTGTGTGTGTGTGTGTGTGTGTGTGTGTGTGTAGGTGTGTGTGTAGGTGTGTGTGTAGGTGTGTGTAGGTGTGTGTGTGTGTAGGTGTGGGCTGGGGGGGGGGTGGCTTGGGGGGGGGGGGGATGTATGTCTAGGTGTGTATGTGTGTGTAGAAATTTTCGAAATAAATACAGATAAAAATATGAACAATATAAAGTATACCATTTTTAAAAGAACGAATAATGACTGGTTGATATATGAAATATATTTCATAACTTCGATAGTATAGTGGAATATTTTGGCAGCATCATAGAACAAATTTGGGAGTTCAGTGATGATAAAACTTACTTTATCCGCATCACTAATTAATATTGGTAAAAATATCTAGAACATTTTCACAGGAATTCGACAATGAACTAAAAGCATGAGACTTTGTCTTTTATTTGGTCAGGGCAGTTAAATGTTTTAGTAGTTTCTGAGACCTCTTGACCAGTGTCCGCGATAGATTTTTATGGTGGCTTCCATCCTACGAGAAGGTAGGTTTCACTCTTGTGATCATTTCACGTCTAGTTCTACATGTAGACATCCTGATTGGCCTTTCGTGGGTAATATGAGCCACTCTCTTTTTCATGAATGCAATTATTTATTAGCAGGTTGTATCAGAAGATATTCTCACATTTAGTGATCAGCATTTTTTGTTGAAGATACCAATGATAGCTAAGGATAGCATCGTTAACGTGTTCCATAGAAATAAGGGAATATTTTTTTAAACTCTGCCGTCTATCCCATCATGATCAGTCCTCTTTGGGCTTACAGGTTACAATTGGTTACAAAGACATGGTGGTCAGGCTCGCTGACTTGGTTTACTGTGTGTCGTCATATCCTAACGGTAAGGGACGTTGCTCAAAGTATCAATCACTGGTTTTTCGGGTCCAGACCTGATTATTAACAGGCCACCATCATGTAGCTGGACTATTGCTGAATGTGGCGTTAAACAACAAAACATCAGATAAGAGTAGTGGTGTATGCTGTAGCAGCGTCCAGCACATCCTGGGATGTTGCATTCCATGACAAGATACCAAACATACCCCAGCTATATTGCCGCTACTAGATCCATATCCAATGTCGTAACCTTGGCTTGTTGTTACATGTATGTAAAGATAAAGGCACGGTGGGGTGGTTTAGTTGTTGAGGGGCTTCTCCTCCCTTCACAGACCTGGGTTTGAAGCCAATTGATATGTCCCATCGACCCGTGAAGATTCCGGGGTAGAATAGGTCTTCAGCAACCCATACTTGCCATAATAGGCGACTATGCTTGTGGTAAAAGGCGACCAACGGGATCGGGTGGTCAGGCTCGCTGACTTGGTTGATACATGTCATCGATCCCAACTGCGTGGATCGATGCTCATGATGTCAATCACTGGATTGTCTGGTCCAGTCTCGATTATTTTACAGACCGCCGTCATATAGCTGGAATATTGCTGAGTGCGGCGTTAAACAACAAACAAACAAAATATTATGTCCCATCTCACTTACTCATAATTATAGGATATACAATCTTGATGTCTACTATGCGTCTTAATAAGATTGAGGCATACTCCAATAGTGCCTTCCACTACACTTTTCAAAATATATATTAGTAAGCAACATAAACAAAGAACACTACATGGTTGACAGCATTTCATGATCTTATCAAAACCGATCAGGATTTCAAACTGAAGGCATACACCAATAAAGGTTTGCTTGTACGATGGGAACCAGCATGGCACATCTTATCACCTTGCGCTAGTCGTGTTACGAGTTTGCCAAAGAGGTCCAGGGTCGACTCGAAGAAAGGGCATATCACGAGAGTCCCTATTTTTATATTTAAATGTCAACTATAATTACTCTCATATAAGTAAAAGCAACAAAACCCTTTCCATAATCATGAGAACTTAACTTAGTCCACTGTACACTTCAGGCTATATCGTAAGTATGCGTTTGTGGCCCCACCTGTGGCACCCGTCACAGCCACAGGCAAAGGTAAGTCATGTTCACCTGAACAAAAACGGGAACAAATGGGACAAGTCACAGTGAAGAATCGCATGAAAGTGAATCGCATCAGACTTCATAAATATTCGTCACTGATGCGTCAAATTTGAAAAGGTCCAGCATGTCCACATAAACCGTTTTAATAACCTTCATTTAGGTTTTGCATATTGTGACCATGATCAAAAGTAACCAATCGCGACTATTGCAGAGAATGCAGAAATTAATTGAAAGAGAACAAAATCCAAGTTGCTGCACATTGTTTATTGATGTGAATAGGCCATCAAGTTTACATTCATCAACTATCTATATCGTCATATAATCAGTCCTATTTATCGCAGGGCTGGTTGCAGTCGGAGGAGCTGAGGCTGGTGTCACTGAAACGGGAAATCGAGAAATAAAGGTTCACCACGATGCTCAAGTTTGTATTTCAATATTGAATATAACTCTGGCATTTTGGCCATTTGAACAATTTTAACCCTTTTTCATAAAAATTGTTTCGTCATTATTACGATACATCATCAGGCGTATAATTTTGGAGTGAGTGAGTTTGATTGACGCCGCTTTTGGAAATATTCCAGCAATACCATTGGGGTGTATATTGCAGTCTACATCTATTTGCAGTGGAACCGTGTTCCCACCATCATTGAATTACGCGGAATCTAGGACGAATAATGTATGGCATGTAATCGGGTAGACATGTGTGTCGAATCATTACTCAAACCCTGGTAGAGACTGCCACAGATGGATTCACGAACTGTGACTATTGGAGATTGGGCGGACAAAATGGTAGAAATGTGGTATCTAGTGTATCTTATCCCGTACTATTTCTGCTCCTTAGTTTTCATGAATTCTGCAGGCACAGGCCGACTTGTTATATCAGTTGATGAACAGACCGCAGGACCCACGGGAGAGACCGCCATTGTTCGATTCATGGACTAAGACAAATTTGGATAGGATGAATGGAGAAAGGTTCCCCATACTATTACAGCTAATTCATTAAGTTCTACTACTTGACTTCAACAGTTACAGAACAGAACAACTTTACAGAATATGAATTCTTCAGTTACAGAACTACTGGTATATCACTAGTAGAGAATACCACATTCTAATTAATTTAGACAAACAAATTAGGAGAAATGTTGGATTTAGTGTATATTATAATGTTACAGTTATATTAGTTGGTGATCAAACCAGTCACTAAGTCACACTGAAATTTGAAGTTATGTATCTTACGCGCAAAGCATGCCGTCCCGGATGCAGTTGTCACAGACGACGGAGCCGTTGGAGATGCAGAATGGACCGTCAAGGTAGCTGAAGCAGTCTGTGGTGGAACAGGTGAAGGCGTTCATACGAGCATCTGTAACCTGGTAGGCAGCTGGAGGTTGAAAAAAAGGCTGCTATTGGACTGCACTTACAACGATAATAAAGTCTTATTATATTATTTTTCGATGGCATGTTTGAATCCTGCATTCTGATTGGTCGTTGGCGGTAAGGAATGTACGTTAGACCATGACGTTTGAAGACGATTGTATCAGCCCTAAAATGTTTGAAAGTTCTTCTTTCCTATGCACTCTTTTACTGAGGTAACGTTGTGAAATAAACTTTGACTGGACATTCTTTTGTACTTTTATACTATGTGAGTGATGCACGTGGAATGTGTTGTCTGCGGCTGTTGCACATGCACCAGGAACAGTTGCTAGTTGATCTTCACAATGCATGACACAAGGTTCCTAACAATTTACAATCGCTTGCACGTTTGTAAAATAGGCTGACGTTGATCACAGGAAATCTTGAGTCATGAGGTGAGGTGAGGTGATATGGGGTTTAACGTCGCGTCCAAGATTATTGCACTTATATAGCGACCTGCATGCGTGTGTATGTGTGTGTAGAAATTTTCGAAATAAATACAGATACAAATATGAACAATATAAAAGTATCACCATTTTAAAAGAACGAATGATGACTGGTTGACATATGAAATATTTTTCCTAACTTTGAGAGTATAGCAGAATATTTGGGCAGCATCATAGAACAAATTTGGGAGATCAGTGATGATCAAACTTACGTTATCCGCATCACTAATTAATATTGGTAAAAATATCTAGAACATTTTCACAGGAATTCGACAATGAACTAAAAGCATGAGACTTTGTCTTTTATTTGGTCAGGGCAGTTAAATATTTTAGTAGTTTCTGAGACCTCTTGACCAGTGTCCGCGATAGATTTTTATGGTGGCTTCCATCCTACGAGAAGGTAGGTTTCACTCTTGTGATCATTTCACGTCTAGTTCTACATGTAGACATCCTGATTGGCCTTTCGTGGATAATATGAGCCACTCTCTTTTTCATGAATGCAATTAGTTATTGGCAGGTTGTATCAGAAGATATTCTCACATTTAGTGATCAGCATTTTTTGTTGAAGATACCAATGATAGCTAAGGATAGCATCGTTAACGTGTTCCATAGAAATAAGGGAATATTTTTTTAAACTCTGCCGTCTATCCCATCATGATCAGTCCTCTTTGGGCTTACAGGTTACAATTGGTTACAAAGACATGGTGGTCAGGCTCGCTGACTTGGTTTACTGTGTGTCGTCATATCCTAACGGTAAGGGACGTTGCTCAAAGTATCAATCACTGGTTTTTCGGGTCCAGACCTGATTATTAACAGGCCACCATCATGTAGCTGGACTATTGCTGAATGTGGCGTTAAACAACAAAACATCAGATAAGAGTAGTGGTGTATGCTGTAGCAGCGTCCAGCACATCCTGGGATGTTGCATTCCATGACAAGATACCAAACATACCCCAGCTATATTGCCGCTACTAGATCCATATCCAATGTCGTAACCTTGGCTTGTTGTTACATGTATGTAAAGATAAAGGCACGGTGGGGTAGTTTAGTTGTTGAGGGGCTTCTCCTCCCTTCACAGACCTGGGTTTGAAGCCAATTGATATGTCCCATCGACCCGTGAAGATTCCGGGGTAGAATAGGTCTTCAGCAACCCATACTTGCCATAATAGGCGACTATGCTTGTGGTAAAAGGCGACCAACGGGATCGGGTGGTCAGGCTCGCTGACTTGGTTGATACATGTCATCGATCCCAACTGCGTGGATCGATGCTCATGATGTCAATCACTGGATTGTCTGGTCCAGTCTCGATTATTTTACAGACCGCCGTCATATAGCTGGAATATTGCTGAGTGCGGCGTTAAACAACAAACAAACAAAATATTATGTCCCATCTCACTTACTCATAATTATAGGATATACAATCTTGATGTCTACTATGCGTCTTAATAAGATTGAGGCATACTCCAATAGTGCCTTCCACTACACTTTTCAAAATATATATTAGTAAGCAACATAAACAAAGAACACTACATGGTTGACAGCATTTCATGGTGTAATCAAAACCGAGCAGGATTTCAAACTGAAGGCATACACCAATAAAGGTTTGCTTGTACGATGGGAACCAGCATGGCACATCTTATCACCTTGCGCTGGTCGTGTTACGAGTTTGCCAAAGAGGTCCAGGGTCGACTCGAAGAAAGGGCATATCACGAGAGTCCCTATTTTTATATTTAAATGTCAACTATAATTACTCTCATATAAGTAAAAGCAACAAAACCCTTTCCATAATCATGAGAACTTAACTTAGTCCACTGTACACTTCAGGCTATATCGTAAGTATGCGTTTGTGGCCCAACCTGTGGCACCCGTCACAGCCACAGGCAAAGGTAAGTCATGTTCACCTGAACAAAAACGGGAACAAATGGGACAAGTCACAGTGAAGAATCGCATGAAAGTGAATCGCATCAGACTTCATAAATATTTGTCACTGATGCGTCAAATTTGAAAAGGTCCAGCATGTCCACATAAACCGTTTTAATAACCTTCACTTAGGTTTTAAATATTGGGAACATCATCAAAAGTAACCAATCGCGACTATTGCAGAGAATGCAGAAATTAATTGAAAGAGAACAAAATCCAAGTTGCTGCACAATATTTATTGATGTGAATAGGCCATCAAGTTTACATTCATCAACTATCTATATCGTCATATAATCAGTCCTATTTATCGCAGGGCTGGTTGCAGTCGGAGGAGCTGAGGCTGGTGTCACTGAAACGGGAAATCGAGAAATAAAGGTTCACCACGATACTCAAGTTTGTATTTCAATATTGAATATAACTCTGGCATTTTGGCCATTTGAACAATTTTAACCCTTTTTCATAAAAATTGTTTCGTCATTATTAAGATACATCATCAGGCGTATAAGTTTGGAGTGAGTGAGTTTGATTGACGCCGCTTTTGGAAATATTCCAGCAATACCATTGGGGTGTATATTGCAGTCTACATCTATTTGCAGTGGAACCGTGTTCCCACCATCATTGAATTACGCGGAATCTAGGACGAATAATGTATGGCATGTAATCGGGTAGACATTTGTGTCGAATCATTACTCAAACCCCGTTAGAGACTGCCACAGATGGATTCACGAACGGTGACTATTGGGGATTGGGCGGACAAAATGGTAGAAATGTGGGATTTAGTGTATCTTATCCCGTTCTATTTCTGCTCCTTAGTTTTCATGAATTCTGCAGGCACAGGCCGACTTGTTATTTCAGTTGATGAACAGACCGCAGGACCCACGGGAGAGACCGCCATTGTTCGATTCATGGACTAAGACAAATTTGGATAGGATGAATGGGGAAAGGTACCCCATACTTTTACAGCTAATTCATTAAGTTTTACTACTTGACTTCAACAGTTACAGAACAGAACAACTTTACAGAATATGAATTCTTCAGTTACAGAACTACTGGTATATCACTAGTAGAGAATACCACATTCTAATTAATTTAGACAAACAAATTAGGAGAAATGTTGGATTTAGTGTATATTATAATGTTACAGTTATATTAGTTGGTGATCAAACCAGTCACTAAGTCACACTGAAATTTGAAGTTATATATCTTACGCGCAAAGCATCTTGTCCCGGATGCAGTTGTCACAGACGACGGAGCCGTTGGAGATGCAGAATGGACCGTCAAGGTAGCTGAAGCAGTCTGTGGTGGAACAGGTGAAGGCGTTCATACGAGCATCTGTTACCTGGTAGGCAGCTGGAGGTTGAAAAAAAGGCTGCTATTGGACTGCACTTACAACGATGATAAAGTCTTATTATATTATTTTTCGATGGCATGTTTGAATCCTGCATTCTGATTGGTCGTTGGCGGTAAGGAATATACGTTAGACCATTACGTTTGAAGACGATTGTATCAGCCCTAAAATGTTTGAAAGTTCTTCTTTCCTATGCACTCTTGTAATGAGGTAACGTTGTGAAATAAATTTAAACTTTGACTGGACATTCTTTTGTACTTTTATACTATGTGAGTGATGCACGTGGAATGTGTTGTCTGCGGCTGTTGCACATGCACCAGGAACAGTTGCTAGTTGATCTTCACAATGCATGACACAAGGTTCCTAACAATTTACAATCGCTTGCACGTTTGGAAAATAGGCTGACGTTGATCACAGGAAATCTTGAATCATGAGGTGAGGTGAGGTGATATGGGGTTTAACGTCGCGTCCAAGATTATTGCACTTATATAGCGACCTGCATGCGTGTGTGTGTGTGTGTGTGTGTGTGTGTGTGTGTGTGTGTGTGTGTGTGTGTGTGTGTGTGTGTGTGTGTGTGTGTGTGTGTGTGTGTGTGTGTGTGTGTGTGTGTGTGTGTGTGTGTGTGTGTGTCTGTGTGGCTGCTTGTACTAGTCCGGACTGATGCCGATTTATTGTGCTAGCCCACTGGGATACCATGCCGCAGTTTAACATGAATGCCCCACTCGGACACAGTATACTGACGCCGAGCCGACCAGTCCTTGTTTTAGCCCTTTAATGCCGAGCGCCAGACAGGGTAACAACAAGTACAATCTTTTAACGTCTTTTGGTATTATGGAATCTCGGACACATGCTTTTCGAAAAGAAAATTATTCACTACAATGCCCGTCCAAGCGTACATTTATTTCAATGTTGGTTCAAAATAATGCAGTTTTATGTGAGCATTAAATCCAAAGTTTAAAAGAATGAACAGCTTTCAGACACACTGTCCCGAAGAATTCTTTGTATGAAACTCCTGGTCACTATGAACGAATTGCGCTTGGAAATATACTTCATAAACATGAATTGCGGGACGTTGGTACAGTTCATCGGATTACAGGGAGAACTGTACGAACAGTCCATCTTAGGTTAATTCTTAGAAGAAGCAGGATTTGACCACAATTTCAAAACGTTTTCAAATCCTCCATAGAGGCTCAAAGCACCTTTTGGTATCGTTGTTACTTGCAAAGTACAGAAATTTCAACCTTAATATTTCCAAATTTAACCACTATTAATAGGGTACGCAAATGAAATAATATTTAAAACAAACAACAAAATCCAAAGTCTGCTTACCGAATGCCATAAGAGCGAGGATGACGAGGACCTTCATGATGTCTGTGTTGCTGAGGACGTTGTTTTGCTTGTCTGTAGAAAATGGAAGTGGCTGGAGTGGAAGGCGAACTCTCGTCTTTTATAGGCAAGTCTGATCGGTGGGAACAATCCATTTTCTCTTGCGTCACAGCATGTAGTAATTTCAAATAATTTCGGAACATACCTACACCATATACCCAGTCAGAAACCTGTTGTGGCGCCTACCCACGACGCCCAATTGGCTAATTGCACACCGTTAATTAAACCATGCGGACTTGAACTGTGAACCCCACTTAGACCCGACTCCATACCATAGAGCTATTTGTAGCTGCATTGCTACATGATTTATTTGAATGTACCATGAACTTATTGGTATACTTACGATGACCGTCCCAAATCTGCAGCCATATGTGAAAGTGGTGATTTTGATTTTGTTTCAAGAGGTGTATTGTGAATAAAAGTCACAAAAAACTTTCTATATTCATACGAAATCTCTGCTAAAACATGCAGCATGTGCATGTAATCGATTTCAAACTTCAGGCAGAATGATTTTTTTCCAGCATTTTCGGAAATATGTTTTTAAAACTTTCAGTTGTGCGAAAGTAATTTATTGATGATGCGTTCATGACATGTAAAACAAGCGTACATGTAAATAGCGTTTTCGAACTTTAAATGAACCATATGGGTAATATTGTCACATACATGTAGGTCAGCGTCTGCAATCATATCCTGTGATGTTATATTTGCTGTATTGCGTTACCTCTAAAAAACAGTAGTAATCGTGTTAGAAGTAGTAGTAGCAGCAGCAGCAGCAGCAGCAGCAGCAACAGAACTATTTTGCCGCTTGTGTACAGTTTTTATTGCAAACCAAATGATGCTAATTTGCCATTTCGCTACTCTGAAAGCTCTTATCAAAGCTAAATATTTCAGGGCATATGTGAAGCCTTGTGTAGACACGTGTTGATTACTACTTCTTTAAGTATTTGTTTCAACAGATCTCTCAACTCTGTTTGCTTCGTACATGCACATTATGTCTCAGTCACAGTTGGTACATTACAACTCATCTAGAAAATACAAGATAGTGGTGTTTGGTGATGGTGGTCCAACGAGACATTATGGCAACAAGGTAATCATGTTTATCGTCACATGTATTTGGGGATTATCTTCACAACAAACCTGCCAATATCAGAGTCCCAAATTCGACCCGTCTCACGGATTAAACGTCACTGTAATAATATCTCATTGCCAAAAAGGATTTGGAAAATTTCTTTTGAAATAGTATACACATAATTATATGAAGTATCAATGCAAGAGAATAACCAGCCTAGGTTTTCTGCCGAAACAAATTCCAAGAGCGTTAAGGCCAAAAAGCTGTGGAAATTATATGAATGGATCACTAATTATCAGTGTGTGTGTGTGTGTGTGTGTGTGTGTGTGTGTGTGTGTGTGTGTGTGTGTGTGTGTGTGTGTGTGTGTGTGTGTGTGTGTGTGTGTGTGTGTGTGTGTGTGTGTCTAGGGGTGTGTGTGTGTCTAGGTGTGTGTGTGTGTGTAGGGGTGTGTGTGTGTGTCTAGGTATCTGTTTGTAAGTGTGTGTGTTTAGGTGTGTAGGTGTGCGTGTGTGTCTAGGTGTGTAGGTGTGTGTGTGTGTGTGTAGGTGTGTAGGTGTGTCTAGGTTTGTAGGTGTGTGTGGTATGTGTGTGTGTGGGGGGGGGGGGGGGGGGTGTAGGTGTGGGTGTATGTCTAGGTGTGTATGTGTGTGTAGAAATTTTCGAAATAAATACAGATACAAATATGAACAATATAAAAGTATCACCATTTTTAAAGAACGAATGATGACTGGTTGACATATGAAATATTTTTCCTAACTTTGAGAGTATAGTGGAATATTTGGGCAGCATCATAGCACAAATTTGGGAGATCAGTGATGATAAAACTTACTTTATCCGCATCACTAATTAATCTTGGTAAAAATATCTAGAACATTTTCACAGGAATTCGACATGAACTAAAAGCATGAGACTTTGTCTTTTGTTTGGTCAGTGCAGTTAAATGTTTTAGTAGTTTCTGAGACCTCTTGACCAGTGTCCGCAATAAATTTTTATGGTGGCTTCCATCCTACGAGAAGGTAGGTTTCACTCTTGTGATCATTTCACGTCTAGTTCTACATGTAGACATCCTGATTGGCGTTTCGTGGGTAATTTGAGCCACTCTCTTTTTCATGAATGCAATTAGTTATTAGCAGGTTGTATCAGAAGATATTCTCACATTTACTGATCAGCATTTTTTGTTGAAGATACCAATGATAGCTAAGGATAGCATCGTTAACGTCTTCCATAGAAATAAGGGAATATTGTTTTAAACTCTGCCGTCTATCCCATCATGATCAGTCCTCTTTGGGCTTACAGGTTGCAATTGGTTACAAAGACATGGTGGTCAGGCGCGCTTACTTGGTTTACTGTGTGTCATCATATCCTAACGGTAAGGGACGTTGCTCAAAGTATCAATCACTGGTTTTTCTGATCCAGACCTGATTATTAACAGGCCACCATCATGTAACCCGAATATTGCTGAATGTGGCGTTAACAACAACACATCAGATAAAGAGTAGTGGTGTATGCTGCAGAAGCGTCCAGCACATCCTGGGATGTTGCATTCCATGACAAGATACCAAACATACCCCAGCTATATTGCCGCTACTAGATCCATATCCAATGTCGTAACCTTGGCTTGTTGTTACATGTATGTAAAGATAAAGGCACGGTGGGGTAGTTTAGTTGTTGAGGGGCTTCTCCTCCCATCGCAGACCTGGGTTTGAAGCCAATTGTTATGTCCCATCGACCCTAAAAGATTCCGGGGAAGAATAGGTCTTCAGCAACCCATACTTGCCGTAAAAGGCGACTATGCTTGTCGTAAAAGGCGACTAACGGGAGGTCAGGTTCGCTGACTTGGTTGATACATGTCATCGATCCCAATTGCGTGGATCGATGCTCTTGATGTCAATCACTGGATTGTCTGGTCCAGACTCGATTATTTTACAGACCGCCGTCATATAGCTGGAATATTGCTGAGTGCAGCGTTTAACAACAAACAAACAAAATATTATGTCCCATCTCACTTACTCATAATTATAGGATATACAATCTTGATGTCTACTACAGTGTATGCGTCTTAATAAGATTGAGGCATACTCCAATAGCGCCTTGCACTACACTTTTCAAACAATATATTAGTTAGCAACATAAACAAAGAACACTACATGGCTTCCAGCATATCATGATGTAATCAAAACCGAGCAAGATTTCAAACTGAAGGCATACACCAATAAAGGTTTGCTTGTACGATGGGAACCAGCATGGTACACCTTATCACCTTGCGCTAGTCGTGTTGCCAAAGAGGTCCAGGGTCGACTCGAAGAAAGGGCATATCATGAGAGTCACTATTTGAGTGCTTTTCAATATTATTATTATTATATTTAAATGTCAACTGCTATTACTCTCAAATCATTTAAAGCAACAAAATCCTTTCGATAATCATGAAAACTTCACTAAGTCCACTGTACACTTCAGGCTATATCGAGACCGCCTCCGTGGTCTAGTGGTAGAGCTTCCGCCCGGAGAGCGGAAGGTCCGGGGTTCGATCCCCGGCCGCGCCATACCAAAAGACGTTAAAAGATGGTACTTGTTGTTACCCTGTCTGGCGACGGCATTAAAGGGCTAAAACAAGGACTGGTCGGCTCGGAGTCAGTATACTGTGTCTGAGTGGGGTATTCATGTTAAACTGTGGCATGGTATCTCAGTGAGTTAGCACTATAAATCGGCATCAGTCCGGACTTGAACAAGCAGCCACACAAACACACACACGTAGATGCACGTCGCTTTATAAGTGCAATAATCTTGGACGCGACGTTAAACCCCATTTCACCCACTCACCCTATCAGGCTATATCGTAAGTATGCGTTTGTGCTCCCACCTGTGGTACCCGTCACAACCACAGGCAAAGGTAAGTCATGTTCACCTGAACAAAAACGGGAACAAATGGGACAAGTCACAATGAAGTATTGCATGAAAGTGAATCGCATCAGACTTCATAAATATTCGTCACATATGCATCAAATTTGAAAAGGTCCAGCATGTCCACATAAACCGTTTTAATAATCTTCACTTAGGTTTTGAATATTGGGAACACGATCAAAAGTAATCAATCACGACTATTGCAGAGAATGCAGAAATTAATTGAAAGAGAACAAAATCCAAGTTGCTGCACAATATTTATTGATGTGAATAGGCCATCAAGTTTACATTCATCAACTATCTATATCGTCATATAATCGGTCAGTCCTATTTATCGCAGGGATCGTTGCAGTCGACGGAGGTGAGGCTGGTGTCACTGAAACGGGAAATCGAGAAATAAAGGTTCACCACGAAACTCAAGTTTGTATTTCAATATTGAATAATAACATTTTGGTCATTTGAACAATTTTAACCCTCTTACGTAAATATCGTTTACTCATTTATGACAATACATCATCATGCGTATAATTTTGGAGTGAGCGAGTTTGATTGACGCCGCTTTGGGGAAATATTCGAGCAATACCATTGGGGTGTATATTACAGTCTTCATCTTTATGCAGTGGAACTGTGTTCCCACCATCATTGAATTACGCGGAATCTAGGACGAAAAGTGAGTGATTGAGTTGGGTTTTAACGCCGCTTTTAACAGTTTTCCAGTTATGTCGCGGCGTGTCAGCTTAATGTGGGAGGAAAACCCGAAGTGATGCAGGTCTCAGACATTTACGAATTTGATGAAACCCACGAGCATGATGCTGACAAACCAACAAACCCAATCGGGGCGAACCGGAATTCGAACACAGCGAATCGCGGCGCCTTAGACGACAGGGCCACCCGTGCCCCAAGGACGAATAACAGACCCGGCTCAGCTACATGTATGGCATGTTATCGGGTAGACATTTGTGTCGATGAAACCCAGGTTGAGACTACCACAGTTGGATTCACGAACTGTGACTAAATGGGGATTGAGCGGACAAAATGGTAGTAATGTGGGATTTAGTGTATCTCATCAGACCCTATTCCTGCTACTTAGTTCCTGTGTATCCTACTTGAATTCTACAGGCACGGGCCGACTTATTATACTAGTTGGTGAACAGACCGCAGGAGTTTGAAATTATATATCTTACGTGCAAAGCATCTTGTCCCTGACGCAGTTGTCACAGACGACGGAGCCGTTAGAGATGCAGAATGGGCCGTCAAGGTAGGGGAAGCAGTCGCTTGAGCAGGAGAAGGCGTTCATACGAGCTTCTGTTACCTGATAGGCAGCTAGGGAAATGAAAAAAAAGTGTTTGTGAGGGAGTAAGACCAACACAGAATCAGACTTACGTCTTTACAGTGGGAATGAGTATGAGTTTTCGAACATCGGCCCGTAGGCCCGAGGACGACAACTTTGTTCTCGGGCTGATAGTATAAATGAACCTACCTGTCAATTCATTCATTTATTGAATTTATCAATTTTCACAAAGCTAGAAAATACTATTTCATTTTAATTTATCATATTTTATCAATAGATTTAAAATAAGGAATTATTTCCCGCAATGTTCTGAAAAACATCTTGGACATATGCTTCGACAACGGGTCCACATCGAATATGTCAAAGAGCAATACAAAGACGTTTCAAGCAAACGGTAAATAAATTATACAAAGTAATAAATAAACTCAACAAACATACGTCTAAAAATTGGCAACCCTGCATCGAAGCTTCTCTTTCCATCTTTTCGTGCGATCGTGTCATTAAAGTCTCTTAACTTCTCGACATTTATCGCCTCGATTTTTAGGCTTGGACACGATAGTATGCATGAAATATCTTTGTAACGGGACGATGTGTCCACCATGTTCCATATTTTAAACATAGGTCGCGAATTTCCTGCTCAAAACTTTCAAAAAGAACACGATTTAACCAAAAACTTTCGTCTAAATCTGAAATAATCATACAAGACGGTATCCATTGCTGTAATTTGATTGGCTGCCTTGGGTCATGTGCTTGATTTTGACCAAACACGATCCTTATATTAGATTACAGCAAAAGCGTAATGTCTATCAGTTATAATCGCATGTTACAACTACGAAAACACTACTGGCGAGGTTACTGTAATATTATTGATGTTCAGATCTATCTCCCGATACCAAACATCGAACGAATTTACGCACGTGTTATTAATATAAAGCTTCGAAAACAGAGGTTGTGTCTGTTTGTTGGTTTGTTGGTTGGTTGGTTTTCTACGCTCTTGGGATACGATGACATGCATCAACCAAGTCAGCGAACTTGACCACCCGATCCTGTTAGTCGTCTCATGCGACAAGCATCATCGCGTTTAGGGCAAACATGGGTTGGTGAAGACCTATTTTTACCCGGATCTTCACGAAAACGGAGATATTTCCTAGTATTTTCTCATGTCACTGAGCGGTAAGCTACTATTATCGGGGAATACATATGTTTTCATAGATCGTACTGAAAATTCTTTTAACCCTCATTTTCCGATGACTTTAACAATGAAAATAAAAAAGAACTAAGTAAGAGGATAGCTCTATCATGACATCTTATAATTGCCGAAAATCGCCATAATTTTCGTTTCCTTAGTGCCAACCTGGACTTTATTAATGTGTCATATTTAATTTTGTATTTAAAAAGAAATTAATTTAGTTATAAATTCATTATTTATATAATGTGACAAACATTACTTTTATATTTACAACGATATGGCTGAAATATTGCCGATGTGACTATAAACCATAACTCACTCACTATTATATTTACAAACAGTAGGATTAGACATTTCAAATGGCGTATGACACGTAGTTTTACAAGCTGATAATTTCCTTGCTAAATGTAGGCTCCATCTATCACCACTGTCTCTGGGAACTCGGTAATAGCAGTAAAAGCTTCTGTTTGACTGGTTGTGTTCTGTAATTTATGTCTCCTGGAGTATGTGTCCCTGCTTAAGCTAAAACTGTTAGGCCTACATTTTTTTCTGCTATGCCTACAGGTTTTGAAATGTGCTGACCATAAAGGCTCTCAGTTTACTCTTCTGAGTTTCAGACACTGCAACTGTCACAAACACATGCAGAGACACATCAAGTGCTACAAGAGAACTGCATCGTACAAATGTGGAAATGTGCTCCACATGTCTGACCATCAAATCTTTTGAAAGCTTTACTGAGGACTCGAACGCTGGTATGCTGGCCCTGTTTATGAAGCAATCATTTTTTTAATTATTTTTTTTCAATAATGTCCATAACTGGTTTAAAACAAGATTTAAAATAGTTTTCTTTCCAAAAAACATTCTGAACAATCCTAAAAAAAAGTGCTCTTACCGAATCCAACGAGAACGAGGAGGACGAGGAGCTTCATGATGATAGTGTAGTTGCTGATGGCGAAGCTTGCACTGGTGTATAAGTTCGAGTCAGTTGAATGTACTGAAAACGAAAACGTGAGGGTCTTTTATACGCATTGTACTAATTAGTATGTGAGCAATTATCCCTTAATAGGTTAATAAAAACAATTATTTATATCAGGTATTCAAATCACAGTGTGAGGTTGCATTCCGGGCGACCAATTGACATGATAATTTGACACAAACTCACCCATTTGATTCCCCACTCACGGACGCCCGCCACAGCTGCTACCTAGTCCACTACACCCACACACTTGTTATGAATTGTTACAAATTGAAGCATTGCCAAATCTTTAATGTGTAAAAAGAAATTTGAAGTAGAGCTTTCATTGAAGCAGAGTTTGGCAGTGAACTTTTAGAGTTTGGTAAGTACTTTGTCTTATCAGATTTTAAGTGATCGGTATTGGTATTTATTCGAAAAAACAATATTTGCATCTATTTTTTTCAATTTAAGAATACGTTATTATAAAGATGAGTAAAACTTTAGTAAATCTTTAGTTTTTAGTTGTTTTGAAAGGATAGGGAAAGTTATATTCAACATATGCAAGAAGGCATATTGCAGTTAAAAATACATTTTTGTTATCAGATCAACTGAAAAATGTTCGTTTGAAGCTTTTTATACTTCAGGACAATATTGTCATCATCAACAGTGCAGTATATACGAAAAATGTGTTTTAACAAAAATATTGAAGATCTCTGTGGATAACTGAAGGTTCGCTTGAAGAGACTAAATCGACTTTCATGAAACTAGATAAGTAGTGATTGAATGTTTCAGAACTATGTGGCATATTTTTCTATGCACATTTTTCTATGCGACTCGATTTTACAAACTATATTAACTGGGGGCAATCATTTAAATTATGGTACATATACGAAACGTATATTCTAGATAAGATCCTTCTCTGTGACGAGGACAGTACAATAACTTACACAACTATCTGGCCTAGCCAAACGATGTCCTTGTGCGGCTATGAGATATAAAGTTTTTTTGTTTTTTTTGTTTGTTTGCAATAATGTCCATAATTGGTTTAAAACAAGATTTATATCATTTTTCACCGCGGAGGCAATAAACAGGGACAAAACCCTTTATTAATCATAAGAAATCTCTGCAAAAGCAGAGTCAGCTGAATTGGTCGACCATAAAATGTATTTATGAATCACGATCAAACGGCGATGATACCAATTGTTCGCGAAATGGTCAGTGTATCCTGCTCCGCCGGGGAAGTCTGTCACAAACACATGCAAGAGACAAGACAATTGCTCACCTGAAATATTACGGGGACATATGGTACAAGTCAAAATAGGGACTTGAACATGCACAGAAACTTCTGGTTTTTAATGATATAATCCGTTTCCATTGAAAGTTGAGAAAAAATTTTACAAATGACAAATGCTGCTCGAACAGAGTGTCACAAGGCTGTTCGAAAGTAAGTTTAGTGGACTGCTTTTACCAGAAACTAGATACTTGTTATGTTCCTTTGAAGGGTAGAAAACAGAAAAACACCAGTCACGAGCTCTAAGACTTTGGTGCCGAAAATGGTGTACATGTAGGTTTCATATACGATAGCATACTAAACCTCACTAATAATTGTAATTCATGTTTAGATACGTAAATCTCCATGTCTTCTTTTGATAGCATCTTATGATATTCATTGAAACATCGTTAATCAGGGTTAACTAATCATGGTTGCGGAAATATGTATGTTGGAAATATGTATAAAAATTCACAATACGATCGTTCGGAATGCGAGGTTTCTGGACTAACGAGGCTCTTACTAAAAAGGTCCCTTTGTCCTCTGAACATATGGCAATATATTGTATTATGAAAAGTTACAAGATACAAATATGTTCTTTTTGGCCGTTATAATCGATCTCATGTTACATTGTTATGTGTATAAATGAAAATTATAAATATATAAATTCATAGTTTGGGATTGGTCTTTATTTGGAACTCATATGTATGAGTAACATTTCTTGTTAAATGATAATGGTTTCTAATAAACTATCTTGCAACGACTTCCCATGAAGCTGTTTTAAGACTTTCTTGTCACCTTCCACATAAACAATTTTCTCTTCTATAAAACAATATTTTTAAAATGAAATTAATCTGCAATTATCACAAAAAATAACTTAATATCGGTGTCGAAATGTCCGAAACTAAATAAAAGGCACATTTGGAAAAGGAACCAGTAGGTCTGGATACGCTCACCTTTTCGCGAACACCTGGTATCATTAGTATTTCGTAGTGATTCAGTAACACATGCCTATCATACAATCGGAATCGTACAATCGACTCTTAATAAATTTTAGGTGTTATTTGTTATGATTATGGAAATGTTTTGTCGCTTTTTATTTTTCAGATTTGATATACTAGTACGTGTTTTCTGCTTGTGCGTTATATCGTATCGAAAGCGACGCGAAGCAAAACCTCATGCCCATGAACACTTTCAGAACGTCATGAGGGCTGGTTCCTTGAAAGGACGGCGATGGAAAATGATACGAATTATAATCATTAATCTAATTTAATATCAGAAACGATGCTTCTACTCTAATAGTGAGTGAGTTAGTTGGGTTTAACGCCGCTTTTAACAGTATTCCAGCTATATCGCGGCATGTCAGCTTATTGTGGAGGAAAGCCCGAAGTGATGCAGGTCTCAGACGTTCTACTCTAATGTAATGACGACTTGAGAATATTAATGCTATAGTATAGTTGTTTTTTCGAATGGTATTATATATTTTTCATTTACTTTGAACCTTATCATTTATGAGCGAGATGATGACATTGTTAGTGTCAACTGTTACAAGCAGAGTTGTTGCTGTTGTGAATGTTTCTTGTTATGGTGTGTAAAATATTGGTCCCCCTGAGCGGATATTGTCAGTCACATTTCATTCATTGATTAAAAGACTTCCTCCGTGGTCTAGTGGTAGAGCTTCCGCCCGGAGAGCGGAAGGTCCGGGGTTCGGTCCCCGGCCGCGTCATAACAAAAGACGTTAAGGATGGTACTTGCTGTAAACCTCCCTGGCGCTCGGCATTAAGGGGCTAAAACAAGGACTGGTCGGCTCGGAGTCAGTATACTGTGTCTGAGTGGGGTATTCATGTTAAACTGCGGCATGGTATCTCAGTGTGCTAGCACCATAAATCGGCATCAGTCCGTACTAGTACAAGCAGCCGCACACACACACGCATGCACGTCGCTATATGTCAAATAATCTTGGACGCGACGTTTAACCCCATTTCACCTCACCTCACCTCAATGATTATATCTCCTAGTCTTTTGGACGTAGAATATTTGTCGTTTTAATTTTGGCTAAAAATGCGCACAATCGACTGAGAGCATGGTATGAATCCTGCCGGGGTCCATGCACGTAGCAAAGGTACTGTAAGCTCCCATGGTCCCTTGTAGAGTGATCTACCTTCAGTGGCTGGCAATCAATAGCTCATGTTTATCATATATGTTTTGTATCGTTACATCCGTGGCAAATTTTGGGTGGTAGCCGGATAGCTTGTACTCATACTATTTAGAACCATACTATTATAAACTTATGTTAATCTGCATTCGAAAGAAACAAGAGCAACGGTTTACACTACATTTTATATATTTCGTCCACTGAGTCTGGAAGTGCCTTGAAAGTGGGAAAAGTGGCGCGAAAATGCGCGATACTGTCACAATAGTGGCCCAATGGAGGCGCAATAGTGGCGAAATAATGGACGTAAAGAAGACACTTGCATGGTATAAAATATATATGTGCATGCATTTAAGTTCACAACAAACATCTAATATATAGGGGGGCACGGGTGGCCCAGTCGTCTAAGTCGCCGCGATTCGCTGTGCAGAGTTGCGTCCCTTGGACACGCCAGAAACCTATAATTGTGGGTTCGAATCCCGGGTCGCCCCGATTATGTTTCTATGTTTGTCAGCACCATACCCGTGCTCGTGGGTTTCTCCGAAGTGGTAAACGTCTGAGACCTGCATCACTTCGGGCTTTCCTCCCACATTAAGCTGACACGCCGTGATATAACTGGCATACTGTTAAAAGCGTCGATAATCCCAACTCACTCACTCACTCACCAAGCACCAGGCAGAGTAACAACAGTTACCATCATTTAACGTATTTCGTCATACCCGGGGATCGAACCACCGACCTGTCCGGGCAGACGCTGTACCCACTAGACCATACAGTTATATAGTTACTTCATTTGAAGTCAATTTGTTTTACAAAATATAATCAGCATTATTGGAATAGTGTTCTGTCAGTTACTTATTTACATCTAAGAGATAGTAATGTCAATACATGCAAATCAAAATTGAATGAGGGATATTTGGCTTGGCCAGTGCCCACCAGAATCTGCTATCATGAATGGACGCTGCTAGTATCTGATCCATGTGAAGTTATGCCTATTTGCAGTATGATAAAAGATAAACCGTTAAACAAGTGTGGACCCGTAAAGATCCGGGGTAGGACAGGTCTTCAGCAACCCATGCTTGCCGTAAAAGACGACTATGCTTGTCGTAAAAGGCGGCTAACAGGATCGGGTGGTCAGGCTCGCTGACTTGGTTGATACATGTCATCGATCCCAACTGCGTCAATCACTGGATTGTCTGGTCCAGACTCGATTATTTACAGACCGCCGTCATATAGCTGGAATATTGCTGAGTGCGGCGTAAAACAACAAACCAACCAACCAAAACAAGTGAGGAAACAGTTCAAAACGTCAATGTAAGATAGAGCAATAAATGCTATGAGTTTTGAGACATACCAAAACAAGGATGACGACGAATCTCAAGCGAATGCTGCATAGCAATGATGTTCACATTTCACATGTTGCAAGTGGAATAGTATTTTCACTCAACCCGTTTTTTATTATCTGTAAGAGTAAAAAAATAACAGTGATGATTACAACTACTTTTTACATGTTACTTAAATACCCTGAACAATTATGACGGTTAGAAATCCTTCAGACTTTGCACTTGGGCAGACCATAATCCCTAGGTATGTAGACTGCAGACATGCCGACATGCAGTCTGAAGACAGGCAGACA